CGACCGCAGATAGGAATTTTATTCCGTAATCATACACCTCCCCCTACTCTCTCTCACTCGAGTAGAAAAGATTTAAGGGCTAGTGCGGCCCAATCGATCAGCGTTTGGCAAGCGAAAGGGCGACGAAACGATACCTGGGGAACAATGGTCATAAAATTGTTTTCGACGACAGTTTGAGTCGCGCTCAGTTATTATTAGAACACTCGTTAACAGGCTGTACCGGCGGCGGTTATGTATCTTTTTACGGTTGCGCTAAAAACGAAACTTTCCCGCCGCGATCATTTCCGACGCAAACGTCAAAAACATCGCTCATTTCGAAAATCGTAATCCAGTCGATTGAATATAAACCATCTGAGTTTTAAAAGTGGCTTCGGACGATTCTTTCTCGCGAAATGTGATTACAACAACAAGACAATAAAAATAAAAATTTTTTTTTTTTTTTATATTACGTATTAAACAATTTTTCATTTTTCACGTTCGTCCCGCGTTCTTTCCTGCTGGTTGAAAATGATCGATCGATCGCTCGAATTTTTAGCAAAATGAGCAAGCGTTGATTTATCTTCCGGTTTTTTGTCGCGTGTTGCAGATATTCGCGGATATTCGGGCAGATGTCGTCGAGAAAGATGCGAGAAATCCAAAATTTCGCGCGTTTGTTTTCGCCTCCCTTCGTGTTTTGACGGCGCGAAAACGACGAAAGTATCGACGAATCGGTAAAATTCGCGACGCGACGCGAGTAATTATATCGTTCGTCAGCGGGAACTATGCGCTTGCGGATGTATATCGATTCGAAGCGTCGACTTCTAGAAGAAGCCGCGGCGTGTCGACTATAAAAGACCCACGCGCGGAAATCGCATTCACGTCCGGGCGAGTTGTTCCGCGCCATTTTTTCACGCGTTCTCCACGTAGACAAAAAAGAAAAAATGTGGAACACAAACTTTCTCTCCCGCCTTTGCATTTCCCGGGCGCTAAGCGCCCCCGCGTCGCAACCCCGCGTCGGTCGATGTATGCGGGCCGAGCACACAATGGTCGTTTATAGTTTCTTTAGTTTCTTCAAAAAGAATGACGTGTTCATCGGCTATGTATAGTGACACGACATTAACGTTAAAGTATCACATATGGCGCATCGCGATGCGCCGCGCGCGCGCTACGTGTCCGGAAAAATCGCAATGCGAAATATAAGCCGCGTCGGACAGTTAGCGAAACACTAACCGACCCCCGGACGAAAAAATTCGTGAACGCGCGATATCTCGCGCGACTTTCGGGATGTCTCGGGACGTTGTTTTCTCGGCGACGCGACGCGCGGACAACTCGCCTCGAAGTTCTCGCGCGCCGCGCGCGCGAGGATCTGAGAAATTGATCGATATTGCCGCGCGCACCACAGCCGCGGAAAAGTTTCGCGAGAATTTACGCCAGCACACGAACTCGCGGGAGAATCGATCGCGAATGAGTTTCGAACGTAATGCCGCGCGCGCTGCGAAGCGCAATTAAACCAAATTTCCGTCCTCGTGGTTTTAACGTTGTTATCGAGTTTCCGACGTACAACGCGCTTTTTCCTCCCCTAATCCGCACAGATCGGAACGAGAAAAAAAATCTTCATTTTTTGCTGAAATAAATTACAATGGAAGAAAAATAGATTTTTTTACAAATAGAAGAAAATAATCGAGATGCTGACAACTTTTGTTTGTATTTCTGATGAGAAAGAGACAGAGAGAGAAAGAGAGAGAGAGAGAGAGAGAGAGAGAGAGAGAGGACCTTATTTTCAGTACACTCCAGTTTCGGAGTATTTCCATTTTTAAGACTTCCACGATCTCGAATTTTCATTTTTGAGTCATTTCCATTTTCAGTCGCTCCCATTTCGCGAATTTCTTTTCTGAAATCGAACTCTTTTACATGCAAATCGATATTTCTGAGATTATTGTTATTAACCGAAGAATTCGCGATTCGAATACAAGAATGCGACTATTTTTATTATATTACGCGGTCGTTACCACCAGCGGGTTTTTGAAAAACAAAAAGCAAAATCGGTGCTGCAAAACCGGGAACATTTTTGCGAACGGGAGGAGGATGAGCTCGTTAATTTAACGGCGAGGAGGAAGGTGGCAAACGCCGGTGCCGCTACGCGATGCGGCAACGAGTCGGGGGCACAGCATTACCGTTTTCTACCTTGGGGTTCTATTACCCTTATTGTTAAACTTAGAGTTACTGCGAACTACGGAGTGAACTATAGACCGCTTCTCTGTTGTCGCAACACTCGCGCGGGCGACTGCGGCGGGCCACGTGGCTGCAGGTGTGTGGCTTCGCGACGCATGCGAGCGGATCGCCGAGCACCCCCCCCCCCTTTCAGGAGGGGCGCTTCGTCCGCGAACGGGCGCGTTCCGCTCTTTTGTCAAAACCCGCGGCGAAATTTCGTAGCACATTACGACTCCGAGATCACGCGATTTCTTCCGCACGTCTGTGATTAATCATTACCTCCTTCTCCTCCTCTTCGTCCTCCTCCCCTCTTTCCTCTTTTCTCCCCGAAATTCGCGGATCCCGGATTTCGTTCGCAGATCCGAAACCGGAAATAAAAAAGAACTCTGACCGCGATTTCCCACCTCCCCCCTCCCCTCCCCCACAATTACACGCACGAATCGTCGCGTTCGCGCAACCCCTAACTAGGCGAAACTACGAGGAAGTGAAACTAAAATGATAGTACGGTGAATAATGTATGGGAAACGGTAATGTGAAAGAGTTGCGAGTATGACGAGCTATTCGAAAATTTTCGCGATGACTCATCTTTTAGGAATCCGTCGTAAACTTTCTTTATTTGGTTTGGAATTTTAATAAAATTGAATTGAGGGAGGGGGTAGGTAGTTCGAGCGAAGTAGATCAGCGACGAATCACACAACGGCGACTCTCTAATCTTCCACTCCCCATCTCTCTCCGTGTGTTTGTGATGACACATTATGTTCATGTAAAAAAAAAAAAAAACAAATGCTCGTAATTCACGCAACGGATAAACGTTTTATATCGCGCGTCTCGAACGAAATTGAACAATAAAACAAACTCGTATAATCCACGTTTTCTCGTTGACCGGAGAGAGTAACGCAATATACACAATATGCGGATAGATTAACTCGCGTCGCGTTGTTGTGACATCGCGCGTTTATTACATTGTATATTTGTGTATATATATATATATCGAGCACGCGCTTTGTGTGTTGAACATGCGAGACGCGACGTGTTGTGTGTTTGGCGTATTCGTGGAAGTCGTTCTGTTATCGAAGACCCAAGTTTGCAACTGCGCGCTATTTCAATTCTCCATCCGCGCGTACTCTTGTTATTTTAATAAGAAATGCTCTATATAAATTGTTTTAAAAAACAAAAAAAAAATGTACCGGCGCGCGATAGAGCGAAATCAAATTATTTATACGTTATTTCCCCGCGAGAACCCGATACTTCCGGCAAACGTTATTGTTTTTGCCACTTTGAAGCAATCAAAATTGAGAAACAAAATAAAAATTCAACTCTCGAGAAGTTAATGTAAAAAACAAAAACGTCAATCGCGCAAATAAACGAAAGAGAAATTGATTGAAAAAAACAATTGTTTTTCGCGACAAAGCTACGATAATTCGTGAGATAATCATTGGACGCGATCGATAAACGAGCAAATTCGATAACGAACGCGCCCCGCTATATTTTTCAGGCTATCGTCATCGATATGCGATCGTTAGCAAAAACGGCGTATCGAGAGAGACGGAAAAGTTTTGGAAAAGCTCATCGAGTGTGTGTGACTGGGTCATCCAATCAGACGTGGGTATATCAGTGAGTTCTCTTTGCACGATTTGGCATCGAAAGAATTCGGTTTAATCCGGTGGCTCGGCGATATTAAACGGCGAAAAAAGAAAAAAAACCGACATCGTCCTGTCGTCGCGACATCGCAAAGTTGTTCTTCGATTTTTGCGATTTCCGCCCG